CAGGTCTAAAATGGAAAAGAGGTAGATTTCACAGCAGGGCTTGTGGAGGTCGTCGGGTGAAAGGATTCAAGCTAGTTGTGGGCTGTTGGTAAATAGTCTTCTGCTTTTATTTTCCCTGCCTGCCCCACTGTCCCCAGGCTTGCAGTCAGTGTAAGCATCTGAGCTGGCTGGATGCTGAAACTTTAGACTGTGTGAACACTAGTGCCAGCACCCGGAGTTCAGAATGCCTGGAGAGTAAGACCTTCTGTTTCTACATTATCTTTCAATTAAATTGTCTCCAAAGGATTAATTTGTTATTAAACACGTGAACATAAACATATTAAACATATGAACATAAATCTATTAAACAGCGAACAGTGTCTGGAGGCCTAATCTCACTGTGATGTCTGATGTGTAGGTGTCAGGAAATAGATTATTCTATCTGAAACTACAATCTGAGTATGAAGAGAAGAGGCTTGGGAATAGAGTGCAGTCAAATATGTTTTACTGCTCCTTATTTTTGTATTCTCTCCTTTGTGAGTTAGGTGTATCATGATTTTTTTTTCTTCTGGAAGAGATGTCATCAATACTGGTGAAGATCAGCATCCACTTTAATACAAACATGGAAATAATGTCTATAGCTGTTCCTATATGAAATTCAGGCTAGTATAATTAAGCACGTGATTAAGAAAAAATAGTTTATCCTGTAAGAATTTGATGGTCAAGGAGTTCCTACAGAAGTTGGTTTTGTTACTTAGGTCTCAGATTATCAACATTATGTCAAGAATTGTGAAAAATCTTTTTTTCAGGTTGTTTGAGTGACTAGAACACAATTCTTGAATTCTGTTGTTGATTTGTTTAATAAATATTTCAGAAAAGGTGAGGGATTAAGTTTTTTTGCCAGAACCACAGCCTGCAGGATTTAGAAACACTGTCTGTTCCGTTTAGCTAATTGGTTTGAAATGGGACATTGTTAATCACTAGCTGTGCTTTTGCTATGCCCATCTGCTATTGTGAGCTGACAGAATTTTTCAAAGTGGCAAAAGTATGTTGCTTTTTGAGCAGAGTGAGCAAAGGAAATGCATAATCATAGAATCATAGAATGGTTTGGGTTGGAAGGGACCTTAGAGATCATCTAGTTCCAAACCCCCTGCTATGGGCAGGGACACCTTCCACTAGACCAGGTTGCTCAAAGCCTCATCCAGCCTGGCCTTGAACACCTCCAGGGATGGGGCATCCACAGCTTCCCTGGGCAACCTGTTCCAGTGCCTAACCATCCTCACAGTAAAAAATTGCTTCCTAATGTCTACTCTAAATCTACCCTCTTTCAGCTTATACCCATTACCCCTCATCCTGTCACTACATCTCTTCTAAAAAGTCCCTCCCCATCTTTCCTGTAGGCCCCCTTCAGGTACTGGAAGGCTGCTATAAGGTCCCCCTGGAGCCTTCTCTTCTCCAGGATGAATAATCCGAACTCTCTCAGCCTGTCCTCACAGGGGAGGTGTTCCAGCCCTCTGACCGTCTTCGTGGCCCTCCTCTGGACCCGCTCCAACAGCTCAACGTCCTTCTTGTTTTGAGAGGCCCAGAGCTGGACGCAGTACTCCAGATGTGGTCTGACAAGAACAGAGCAGAGGGGCAGAATCACCTCCCTCGACCTGCTGGCCACACTTCTCTTGATGCAGCCCAGGATCCAGTTGGCCTTCTGGGCCATGAGTGCACACTGCTGGCTCATGTTCAGTGTTTCATCTACCGACACCCCCAAGTCCTTCTCAGAGCTGCTCTCAAGCCATTTTCTGCCCAGCCTGTATTTGTGCTTGGGATTGCCTTGACCTATGTGTAGGACCTTGCACTTGGCCTTGTTAAATTTCATGAGGTTGGCATTGCCCCACCTCTCAAGCCTGTCAGGGTCCCTCTGGTTGGCATCCCTTCCCTCCAGTGTGTCCACCACACCACACAGCTTGGTGTCATGGGCAAACTTGCTGAGGGTGCACTCGATCCCACTGTCCATGTTGCCAACAAAGATGTTAAATAGCACCAGTCCCACTACCGATCCCCAGGGAACACCAGTTGTCACTGGTCTCTGTTCACACATTGAGCTGTTGACCATAATCTGCAGTATGCACCCCTCAGATTTATGTGAACCTTTGTTCTGTATCTGATGCTGCCTTAACAAATCCCTTTTCCTCCCAGCTGGCTATGATTCTGCATATCTGGATCTTGTCGATAACTTTTCTGCCACAGGCTGACCTACTTGTTAGTTTCATGGATTTCTGTCTTGTCCTTCACTTTGAAATCTCTTTGAAGATTTGATATTGTTTTCTGTATGCTTGTGGACCACTAGCAACAATCTGTTTTGTGTGAGATTTACTTTAATGTAAATGTTAAGTAATAATTTTATTATTGTTTTAACATCTGTTTGTTGTGCATAGTTCTTTAGTTTCTACAGGGGGAAAACAGCAACCATTCTAACTACTTTATCCCGGAGGCTATTAAAAAAAAACAAAGTTAGGTGTCAGACCACAACCACAGAGTGATTTATACCTCCCTACTTTCAACCATTTAACCAGGTTGTTCTTTTACTTATCTTCCTTGGCATAAAGATATATGCAAGAAACATTCCACTGGGTGTTAGTAACCCCGAGCCGGTCAGTAATATTGATTTTATACATTTAGTGTGGCGTTGCATGCCACGAGAAAATAAGACACACTTTTGCTGCCAGATACTGCCCTTGGGCCAGATTTGGACTATCTGCACTGGTCACAAGAGGAGCTTTGAAAGTGCGTTGTCTGTAGTAATGAGCTGTCCTGGGATAAACTGCAATTCTGACATAAGGCTTCTTCCACTACAGTAATCCCATTGTGGAGTTGTCCCAAAAGCATATTGCTGGATGCCTGGTTATGTGCACATTTTTCACTGCTAGAGAAAATTTTACTTTTTCATTTTTAAGGTGTAACTTAGTACACAAATATTAGAGTTTGCCGATACAGAAACATGGAGCAGACATAAGGAAATGACTCATGGTTATTTAGTACTCTTGGGGAAAAAGGCATTTTTAAAAACTTGTTAGTGGAGATTATTCTGTCATTGTGGTATTACTGTGAGATAGAACTTAATGTATATCTTTATATGTATGAGTTTTGATTTATATGGATTCCTTCTTTAACTTAAATACTGAAAGTCAGTTTTTAGAACCAGAAGTACAGATCATTGTTGTCTATAATACTGTGTTTGAGATGCAGGAGCAGAAAATAATATCATTTGTGAATTATACAGTCAGCTGAGAACTGTGTTATATGTGGAGTGGTGGGATTCCCTTTGTGCCTCATTTTCAGTGTGTCTATACTGGAATTCATTTGCCAATGTTTATCTGCACTGAATTTCATATGCCATTACTGTTATCTGAAGTTAACTTTATATGATGTGTGAAGATGTTATTTTTTTTTTATGCTCAGTTATAAGTATGCTTTTTTTTTGCATGTAATTGCATTTACTTAGAACTGAACAAGTTATTAAATATAGAAGGCTGAACTCCCTTTTTTTGCTGTTCCACGTAAAGTGTTAAAGTATTTTTGTTGGTCTGTTGACAAGGAAGAAGAGCATCATTCTTAAGGGAGTTATATGTCACTATTTATTTGCTGGTAATTACAGAAATGTATACTTAATGTATTGCTTTTGTATAATGTCTCTTAGCTGTTTATATAAAAAACTAAGACTGAATGTGTTATTTTAAATGTATTACAGATGGGCTGGAAAATGTACAGCAAAAGGAAATCTTTAAAGAGAAGGAGAAAAAGACACAACAGAGAGAAGAGTCATGTCCTGCAGATTCGGTAGACTTTCTGATGGCAGAAATGCCATTTGTCAATACAGATATTGAAGATGAGTTTGATAGTAAGTATATTAAACAGAAGTAGTGTGGAAGCTTGGACGCATCACATATTCGGTTCCTGGTCCTGCATTTTGGCATATACAAGTGGGCTGTGCTCATGGAACAGCGTCTCCCTGCGAACAGGATCCTATCCAGAGCCTCTCTTATTAGTATTCCCTCCTACGAATACTTGAGCTTATTAAAAAATTATGATTTTGTGATCCATTGCAGCAATGAGTCACAGACTGAAGACATCTCATATGTCAGTACACATTACTGTTTATGAGCTTGTCAAGTGATGGCTTTTATGAGCTGTCTTCCAATATGTGTGTTCCCAGCATGGGGCTAGAAGTGCACCTATAATTGGACAGTGGATGTCTGCAGCCTGGTCAGCTTATGGGTGTGTATCAGGCCATGTGGTGGGAAAGGGCCTGCAAAGGCTTGAGGAAATAAGCTGGGAGAAAAATAATTTATGGTGCAAAGGAAGAATTGAGGATACACACGTTTCTTTCACTATGTTGGAAAGTGTCTTTGGGAAAGGAGGAGCTAGAGTAAATCTGGCTTGGATTAGATTTTCTTCTGGTCTGGGTTTGGTCCTTGAACTACAGGTTGTCCAGACCTAGTCTAATACAACCTTTTAATTTAATAATCCTACGTGTTATCATTTTTTATGTTTCAAAATGCAGCATGTGTGGGGTTTTTGAAACTTAATATTGGCCTTTTTGCTCTAAGGTCACCTGCATGTTCAAGTGTAGACAATTTGCAGGCCTATTACACTGCAGTGGTAAAATGAAACGCAGTAGTTTGGAAGGTGCATGTCTATGTTAGCAGCTTGTAAGCATCACTTAGAGGTGTAGGCTATTAGTTGAAGTATGGTACCCCAATCAGACAGTTCGGAGAATGAGCAGATCAGATAACTAGGAAGAGATGCTCCAGTCAGTTAACTGAAGTCCAGCTCCTGTTGCCTGATAGTAAGTATATCTTTGTTTTACTTGCCTGTATACTGAAAGTACTTTTTTTTTCTCTTCAGTGCATGCAACGTCTGAAATAAATATAAAGAAGAAAAGAAAGAGGACTACTGGAAGGGAAATCGAAGAAGGCAGTGAGAGAAAGAAGAAAAAGAATTATCAGCCAAATTATTTTATTTCTCTTCCAATTACTAATCCAGAGGTGATAATCTTTATTATACTAATTTGGTATAACCAGAATTACTTCAACAGCTGCATGTGTTTATAAGAAGAACAGTGATCTTGAGCAAAATAATCTTTTGCAGATATTTTTAAAGGCACATTAGCAGCCTATTCAAAGAGTAAATTTATTTTATATAACATTTTTGTGAACAGAATTGCTTACCTGGAAAAGCATAGAGGAAAAATATTTATCTTTTTATTCAGTTTGTCAGTCTTATGGATTTTACATTATTTTGACTGAAGCTGGTTTAAATTTCCCCTCTGTATTGTTCCAGTATTGCTTATTTTGTCATTCACTTAGAATAAGGAAGAGAGACATTCCTATTTAATTCAATAAGAAAATCATTAACAATATTTTAACTCTCCTTAGAGAGAGGAATTTAAATTTGGATATATGTTTGTTTTAGCTAGGCAGTTTGTAGTTTAACATTTTCCAGTAAACTTTATCATCTTATTTAAAATTCAAACAACCTATTGTTTTAGTTAGATGTTGTTTAAAGGGATTCAAGAAGTGCAGAGAACTCTTTAAGAGAATGTATTTTTTTATAGTTAGGATGTGTTGTCTCATTTAGACAGTAAATGACAGATTTCTTACATGCTGTGGGATGTCTCTGGTACAGCTTTGATACCTGTTGTGTCTGCAAATAAGGAAAGTACGTGCATTGTGTTTAAAATGTTAAACCCAACAGTTTATCACCATTTCAAAATTTAGGTTTATTTTTTTAATAACAGGAGCTATCTTAGGTTTTAACTCACCTTACATCTGTAATATCCATTCTCTAAGTCAAAGATTAAGAGAATCCAAAATGAAAATAAACCAAAGTAGGTTTGAAAATTACAGTGCAGTCTTTGATTCTTCAAAACATGCTATGTGAAGAAGAAATTGCAGAGGCTGCTTTTAAAAGATCCAGGATGGTCTGACATGAATATTGTGGGAGATCTTTCATATCATTTTACTCTGAAAGCTCTTCCTGTCTGTTCCGTTATTTAACACGTGCACTAATAAAGTAGGGGTTACGTAATCTGATAATTGAGAATTCCTGCTCATGTTATTGAGTGGCTGGTTGAGTGGGAAAGTCTTAACTATGTGTGCTTTTTTGTATGTTGTGTGTTTAGTCTTATATCATTTGCAGAGGTAAAGGAACAACTGTGTTAAATCTCAGAGCACGGTGAGTTCCAGGACTTTGCAGAAAGTTTTGTTTATGCTTGCCTTAGATGTAGAGTTTTTCTGAAAGTAGAAAATACACATTTGAATTTGTATAGGCAACATTAGCCAAAATTTAGACTTAAGACACCTGGTTTCTTGATAGCCGGAGGGAATCTGGTAATTACTGGTAGTATTTCAGTTAGTAATGAGAGACTTTTTTTTTTTTTTTTTTTTTTTTTTGAGGATCTCATTTTATTCCAGTGAAGTGTTTTAGGCATTAGTACTCTTTCTTTGTATTTTAAATAGTATTCGAAGCTTTACACAGGGAAGCATTTTGTAATAAAGGACATTTCTGAAACATTTAATGGACTGTTTCTCTTGGAAATGAAACAGTTTCCTTCTTTTCATTTTAATTGTGTTTTGAATCCTCAGAAATAAAATGTGGTGTTCTGTTAATTTTGAATTTATATTGAACTTTGCATTATTACTTGTGAAAAAATAGTAAAATGGATTATTATCATTGTATACATTTCTGGTAATTTTTTTAAGTTATGTTTCATCTGATGTTTTATCACTTGATAGGTTAGCCTTTCAGGGTCCTCCAGTCTTGATTATAGTTATAATTAATCTGTTAAATCTTTAAAGCTTGCAGTCTTTATATTCCCTTGCTAGTAGTATCCTTGCAATAAGCAAAACTAAATTATTTTATTACTCTTCAGAATAGCATGTTCCAAGTAATGGGAGAGGGGACCTTGAAACCAGTATTTGAGGCCTTATTTTGGAGCACTTCTTAAAATAATCTGAGGGGGGAATTGTTGAGTATGATCTGCCTTCAGACATTTATTTTAGTTAAGTTAGGAAATCTCAAGTTAAAAGAAATAGCCAGCATGATAGCAGTTGAAATGTAACATAAAACTTTGTAAGGTAATGTAAATAGCAGGTTCAATAGCAATTTAAAGTTTTTGTTTATGCAGTGGGTCATAACTGGTTATACAGAGATGTAGGAAGAGTCCTGGTGCGCTTAATTAAAATTCTGCGCACTCAACTGTCAATTGCACCTTAGAATTGTGAAGAAAACAGAAGGAATCTGAAGTTATATTACACATTGTGTAATGTGTTGCATTTTGATAACGTAATTTCTGGGAAAAGATATTAAAAATAAATTCCTGAAATTCACAAAAATGTACTTGGAAACCTTTTTTCTTCTTTCCAAATAGTGTAGATTGTGTAGAACATTGTCACTTAGCCAGTGAGAGAGAATGTGCTCAGTCTTTTTTCTATTTTGCTTTTATCAAGAAGGCAGCTCATTTGATATTTTCCTGGTGGTTTCAGCAATGGCTTGTCTCTGGAACTGTTAACGAGCCATCTTTGGAATTAATCCTGTTCCAAAGGTATGTTCATGAGATTTTTAGCTTGGTTTCCTAATGGAGTTTATACAGGTGTGAGCCTGCCTATTTGTTTGCCTTGTTATAGTGCCATTTGGGTTTTTGTGGGTTTTAAACTTGCTCTGGGTTTTTTAACCTGTTGTCCAAATTTAGATTAAAAAAATTGACGTCTCGGAGGTACTAATTTCATATGATTTTTGTGGAATTGTGCTTGTGTAAAAGAGAGAGCCTTGAAAGAACGTGCTTGTAAGACTGTAGTGTGAGGGTGGCAATTACCTGTTCTTCTAGACCTGCCAGCTGCTGAATGACTATCTGCATGTTTGTTAGCCAGTCAGCCCCTTATAGCTGAAAATCAGCCACAACATGTGTTGCTTCTTGCCCAAGCCAGAACTGAAGTATATGAGGGAGCTGGAGGTAGTTTAGGACACAAGCAGGAAGGGACTTTGAAGTACTACTGAAGGAAATTATATGGGTAAGGGGATGTGGGGTATTGGCTGTTAATCTGAATGCTGAATAACATTGATCTTTTCGGAGATAGGATGGTCTTACCACTATGATAACAGTTCACACCTGTCTTCTCTATTCTGAAGGACTTGTACACTTAGATTTGTATTTTTTTTCTCTGCTAGCTTTCAGGTGCAAATTAAATTTAGAAGCAATAGTTGAAAATGGAATAAAATTGTAATTCATATGATAGGTGTTTTAATTTTTGAGGTTTGGGGTTTTTTACTTTATGGGGATAACTGCATCTGCTTTAGTTTATAAACGTAAAAAATTATGCAGTCAATACATTGTAATTATCAGGGATTATGTTTACCAGTTTTTTGCTCAAATGTGGGTTAAATTATCAATTCTGACATGTGAAGGAAGATGGTCTTATTACAACATGATTTATGATCAAAATATTGGTGCAATTTTCTTCATATGTCTTACACTACCTAAGACCCTTGCGGTTTTGTAGATGCCATATCACCTTTTTCTGGCAAGTGGCTTTTATCTTCCTTCCTCCTCCCCACCCTTCCTAGAGTTGGTTCCTTTCAGTTATAATTTGATTTTATTTATGTGGCACTACTAAATATCTATGGCACATAAGGTAAAACTCCTGCAGGGCAGAATTCATCTTAAGCATTGTTCAGAAAAATACTGACCACTCCCACTATACTGTGTATTTTCAGGAAATTTATGTGTTCCTTAAAATTAACAGAGCTACCAAAATGTATCAAGGCTTTTTTTTTTTTTTAACCTAAGACCTACTTGTGATTATGTTATAAAAGTCAATGTGTACAGTATATATGTGAAGCATTCACCACTGAGTTTCAAATTAAAAAAAAATCAAATTGAACTTTTCTATGTGCTTCTTTTAGACTTTGCGCACCAAAGCTTATTTATCTGTAATGTCTTTGCTTACCATGCTTTAAGAAATAACTAATTTTGTCAGATGGTCAAAGTTAATGGATTTTATTTAATTTCCACTAACATATTCAAAAATAGTTCCAGGTTTGTGGTTTTTTTGTTTTTGTTTTTGTTTTTTTTAAGTCACTGCAATACAACTGTTGTAACTTGAAGCACACTGAACATTTTATACAACTTATAAAGCATGTATAGCCATACAAATAATTATCAGTGAAGAAAATGTAATTCAAATAAGTTTAATGAAAAAGACTGATGAAGTTAGAACAGTATACATGTTGTATGGAAATTCATTAAAATATGTTTGAAGGGAGTATATTAATTATATTTGTTTATCGGACAGTATAATCAGGATGGTAAATCAGATGTCTCTACAAATTGTTTACTGACTATTCCCATTTTGTATGTGCCCAATCCTGCAAAGATCTCTTTCCAGACACTTCTCTGCACATAGCAACATACAAGCTTAGCAAAGCAGGCAGAGAAAGTCCTTGAAGAAGTCTCTTTTTTGGATGACAGGCAATGTAAAACTGGATTATCTTAATCTGCTCTGGGAATTTATCATACCTGTGGAAGCAAATGTCCAGTGATTTATTAATGACTCCATTCACACCCACTGGGGTTTACTCGGGTCAATTAGCAACAGCTTTGTCAGAGGATAAAACTTTCTTCTGCTAGAATGGTTTTTACATAAACGTTTGATTTCAGTTTGTGTGCTTTCTTGTTCACTTGCATGATGGGATACTGTAGTTGTAATGGCTAAGTTGTTTCTGTGTCTTTCTTTCTTTCTTCCCAGATAACTGGCAGTATTCAGGCTGTCCAACATGCAATAATACAGAAGGATCAAAGGCTTTCCAGAGCAATGGTTCACTCTGGCTCATTGCATGTCACCATGTTATTGATGCATTTATCCAATGAAGAAGAAATTAGCGTGTAGGTATTTGGTGGTAAATTAAATATATGCAAGTATTTTTGCTGGAGGAGTTAATAAAAAGACTAGAAGGGGTAACTGATGTTTATTTTTTGTCAACCCTAAATTATTAGGGTTACTGAACATTTATTTGATGTTGTTGTTAGCATGCTAGTCTTAATACCAGCCATTTTCATAATTTATGGTATGTTATGAGCTATGAACAAAGTATGCTTTTTTTTTTTCCTTGCATTTTTCATACTGTATGCTGAACTTGCATGTACAAATCTCATGTTTGCTCAAGAAATTATTTCAAAACAAGGTTTTGATATAGGGGACACTGAACAGATTAACAGGGGAATTTTTAGAATTTAATAGCTTATTAAATAGTAATTGGCCAAATTAGTAATTGTCACTGAAAGACTTTAATGAAAAAAACCCTTGCTCCAAACTAATGCCTCATGCAGTTACAGTTTTTTTATGTCCCTAAATGAATTTATTATACTCAAAATTTAAGTACACTGAAAGAGAGGTGGCTATTAGGATGTATCAAAAATATGGTTTTTATATTGTTTCAGTGGTGCAGTTGATTTTTTGTTCATATCAAAGGTAGAAAATTAGTTGAAAGGTGTACATATTATACAATGACAACATGTAGCTAAGTGTTAGATGCAACTACTTAAAAAGGCAGTTCTTTGGTGGTTTTGACTGTTTATCACATGCTGTACTGCTATCTGATAAGCCTCCTTTAAGGTACAAGTTCAGTGGTTACTATGAAGATGTTCAAACTTTTAAGTCTGTCTATGCAGCTGTAATTTATGAATGTTCAGAATAATAATTTGTGTGTCTAGCTGTAATTCTGACTTGAAATTAAAACATACATTGTGTGTCATAGCCATCTCAACAGTTTCTATTTAGATGTGGTGCCCACTGGCCTGCACATGTGGTCTCTATATTTGCACATTATAATAACAGAATTGAGATTGCAAGTGCTTTGATAACTATAACAGAGTATTATGCAAAACGCTGATAAATGGACTGCTGTCACTATGTGAATATCTGGGAATCCTTCATTGCTTCTATGTCATTTTTGTAGGGAATTGCTAATGAATCAAAATTCATCAGATACGTATAATTCTGTGAAAGAAAAGCCTCACTGTTTCATCTCCCCCAGATGAGTTCTTTCAGGGGCCCTCTGTCATATATATATTCTTTTTTTTCTCTTCAGTGTTATCAGGCATGGGGTCCATGTACTGAATTATTTAGACCAAATAATGAATAAGTGCAGTGAGACATTGCTTAGGTTATGGTAATACATTTACAAAATAATGTGTCTAATGTGTGTGTTGAATATTTTTTCCCTCAGTAGGTTTGGCTGTCGAAGGGCAGATTGCTCATAAGAAAGAGAGAATCCAAGGTAGAATGTAGGAACCGTTTGGTAGTCAAGGGCATGCTTCTAGTAAGTAGAAGTATTTTGGCTAACAACAGTTAACACACCTAAAAATAAGGAGATATCAGTATCTCTAAATCAATTGCCCTGCTTGTTTTTCACACTTGTTTCCTTGAATGCTATATCCTTGAGGCCTCTGCAGTCTTACCTCTCCTGTGAGGATGTGAGTCTGTCAGCATCCTCATCTACAACCATCTGATCCAAAGGGAGAGGAACAGATAGCCAGGAACAGAGAATAGAAAGGAAAGCAAAGGAAAGTAGATCTCCTGGACTCCATCTCCTCTCCATGTGCCTCTTGTCTCCTGGAGTAGGCACAGCAGCTTCCTCCTGGCCTGGTTGATGAGCAAACTGTGGTTTGGTTTTGAGAACAACCACTGATCGCCTGCATAAGATTTTTTTAAAAAGAATTTGAGTTATGAACTTTTTAAAAAGGGAGTGTGAGAGGATACCTCGAAGGCAAGTATGCCTCCTCATTAATATTTTTAGAGTCCTAAACTGAGTATCAAAACAAGCATTCTCAGCTTCAGTATCTTCTGCTACTCTTTGAGCTCCTTCTCAGCTCTTACTATTGGACTGCCACCCAGGCACGCACTTACAGAGTTCTTCTCTGCCTCTCCCAGCAGAACACAGTCCAGGCACCCAGGAACTGTCCTCTAGTGAGCAGCAGCTTCCCCAGTGATTCACCCCTTCCCTGGCCAGATGCCTCCTACAGGTATCTAGCTCAGCTATCCTCAGGTATTCTAGAATGCATTTTCTATTATATGGGATTTTTTTTTTTCATAACTGATGTTTTCTGTTTCATCTTTTGGGAGAACTTGAAGAATAAAAGCTTGAATTTTCCTTTCTTTGCTTCATCAATTTTTGATACCAGGTTAATGGAAAAAAACCAAGATCCAGACTGGCAAAAGAACCTGTGTGTAGCATAGGGTGAGAGTAATCCCTCAAACAAAGTGCAGCTGGTCAACTGGGCATCTGAGAGTTCACAGATCCTTAGGTTTTGATCCATAAAGTTACTTGGATATCTACAGTTTTTCTGCTGTGTTTGCACAATAGTGCAATGAAATGAAATGAAATGAAATGTGCTGGAATGCTATTTGAAGTCAAAACGTGTGATAAGAATGTGCTAAACATAACATTCAACTCAACACAAAGCTTTTTTGTATGGTGTTTTAGTACATACAGCTTTCACCCTGAAAATGGAAGGTCTGTATGCTAGGCTGCTCTTTCTAAGGGAATCCATTACCTGCAGCTCAGTTTCCTTACTGGTTGGCTGTGATGTAGCCTTCATAAATGCACTGACATCTCTTTCTGTAAGACTATATGAAATCAAGAATGTGCAATTTTAAAAACCATAAAGAGAGCAAGCAAGAAAGCATCGTATCAGCACTCCCTTCAAGCAAAGGAGTTCTAGTCCACGCTGGCTATTATATGTGTAGTCATAGGAACAGGTAAAAGAAATCGGTATGCCTGCCTTCACAGTAAATGCCTTCATTACCAGACTATAGTGTCAAGTTCTTCTTTCTTATTATCTGTCAAAGAGTTTGTGAACGTAACCTTTTCATTATAAATATGAGAGCTGAAATGATTCAATTTGGCTTCTTGTTTGCTTTTTCTAGCAAGTAATCAAAATTAACAATTCAGAAATTTCTAAAATGAAACTACATAAATTTTAAGATCAATAATATTTAATTTACAACTATATAGAAAAAAAACAGGCACTGCCTCTGTAAATCTAGTTTCTATTCACTTAGAATATGCTGTTTAATTCTTTTTCTTATTTTCTTTCTCCGCTTCAGAGCGAAATGCTTGTAAACTTTTTTGTTATCTCTATGGGTGAGTTACACTGAGTGTAACCACTATTTGGCATTATAAATACTATTTTGTATAAAATAACAACCAAATACCACGGTTGTGTTTTTTGCTGTTGACTTCAGTGGAAATGTTGGTCCTTGTGTATTATTCTTACAAAGCAATTGTTATAAAGTGATAGAATATGAAAATACAAAATATGCTAGAGTGAGATGACAACTATTTTTCTAAATATTTAGTGTTTACAAGATTATATATTAAAGAAAAAGTAGGTCTAAATCTTCAGTGACGCAGTGCTAAACTGAAAATGCATTGTACTGTTTGAATTGACCTTTCATAGACCTCATCAGGTAGAGTTAAGCTGGTCAGTGGGTTCTGCAGCACAGCCTACAGTATGGAAATATAAATCTTTGTTTAGCTGAGGAACAGAGCTTTCCATGACTCTCTGTGTACCAGTTCTCAGATGCAAAAAATCCAGAGATGGGTTTTATGTATGTGCATGATTCGCTCTACTTGAAAGCCCACTGCAATCTTTGACACAGCGTATTTGAAAAATCTGTACTTGTTTTGGAACAATTTTCAGGTTCATGTCAGTAAATAAATTGACATGATTACTCGTGGAGTAATATAATCAGTATTAGGTGGTGTTTTTGAAAGGTCTTGGAGTATAGCATGTATGGAAGACATAGGAACAGGCTTGTCTAATGGTGATAAAAGGGTAGGTAAGAGGCAGAGACTATGCTCAAAGGAAAATATCTTTGCCAAGCAACAAGTGATGGCATTGTTTAAAGTGGTTATATAGGAGCTAAAGTACTTGTAGATCGTAGAAGCCCTATAAAAAAACTGCAGGGGGACTGTATAAATCAAGGATATTTTGTCATGCAGTCAAACTTCATGTCTTTCTTAACCTGGCCTATGTTTCAATTAAATGTGTAGTTATCATCAAGGGTTAAACACAATGGAAACAGGCTTAAAGAGTATAATTTAGCCTACTTTAGAAATCGTGGTGATGGCTTTCATCCAGCTGGGACAGAAAAAGTAAAATAAACTCTCTTGAGTGTTTTTGACCTGTCACTGCCATCTAGTGTATAAAGTCAACATCAGTTTAGTGAAAAGTTTAAATTCAGTTTAGTTGAATAGAATTAAAAACTGTGAGCATGTGAGAGATCTTTTAGAAACCGCCAAGAATGTTACATAGTTTTTGTTTAGAATGTGAATCACTTCAAGTGCAGGTCAGAACAAATATTTCATGTAATCATAAATGTACTTAATATGACTAATTAAAATTATTATTAAAAGGTTACCAGGTTTGCTCCTGTTTCTTAAGTTACATGTAGATTATGTGTGTATGCTACTTCTCTCTTAAGTAAGCATCAGTTTAGATAGCACTTCTTTTAATAAGTGTTCTCAATGAGCTTAATAGTCATTTCCATATAATTTTATTATTATATATGTATAATGTCACTAACCTCTGTTTATAATATTAAGTAACACTCTGTAGTAACTTTGAATGAAGCAGAATCTTGGAGTGTTCAGTTGAGCTATCAGGAGATGAGAAAAGTGAATTAATTAAAGAACGGAAAACCAAATGCTTCTGAGTAAGCATCTTATTTAAATGAGATGTACAGGATAATAGAGACACTATCATCGTAATATCTAGTCACCTTGAGGACAAAGATAAACTCTTTTGAGAAATTACACCTGCTGCTAGGTCTGCCTTATTGTTTCTACAGCAGAGTGTATGAACAAGTTTACCTCTATAAAATGGTAACAGTAATACCGAGTACATTGATAAGAAGTAGTGCAAAAGTACCTGAGTAGATAATAAATTGATACTAATAAGATTAGTGAGATTTTTGGATAGAATGATGAATAGCAATGTAAACAGTATTAATATATTTGATTTTTACATAGATATTTTCTTTCCTCTTGACAGAGCAGTTGGTGCTCTTTCAGACAGCAAGAATTTTGTAGAAGATCTCCTGAAAGGAAAAACCGTGGATTTGTCTTTTCAAGGAATTGATCACTTCAAAAATCAAGTTGGATTTGTGAAGCTGGCAGAAAATGATCATATAACTTTACTTACGGAAATAGCAGGTACAACTTGTCAGTCTAGTTTAAGTGCTTTAAAGACTTTTTGACAACTTTAATGTGAATGGAGCACAAAGATAAGTTGGTGCTAATTTAGTCAACATTAATTTACCTTAAACAATTGCAAAGGCTACATGATGAATTTCCCAGCATAGTTCAAAAGGATCTTAATGAATTACAGACTGCTGTTCTCGGATATCTTTTTATTTAGTATATCTAAAAAATGTAGTGCAGGTTTGTAGATAGATATATTCTACCATGTTTTGGTCCAAGTACTGTATGCTGTTTCTCAGCTGGTATTTATACCCCTTTCAGTTTGTATATTTGTACTTACTCACTTTAAGAACTGTATCTTTGATTCATCTTACCTGACTTGAAGAGTTACCTATTTCTCTTCTTTGTGTTCGTGCTGAGTAGCTCTTCACTTGACATGCCACAGACTCTTCTGTGGTCTGCGGATTCTTTAAGTTTTGTGTTCCCTATATGTTATACATATTACTCTTAAATCTCAGTGAATTAACTGTAACTTAACCACTCCCACATGTGTAAGTGCATATATACACACACATATATATGTGTATATATATATATGTACTTTATACATACACTTCCATTTATGTATAAAGTAAAATCTGGATGTTCTCTGCACTCTTGGAGGATAAGGGGAATTCAGAAAAAGGACATGACTCATCTGCCAGAGGAATGGAGTTGGAGTCGATGCCGCTTTAGCCTGAAATTTTTTTTTGGAGCAGTTGTGGAACCAGTTTGTGGATTGTTCAAGGTTAATTACCTTCCCGTAACAACTAGGAAGTTACTGAAAGATGTGGCACATAAATGCTACTATACATGTGCACCACATGTTAACTTCAAGAGTGAAACTCTCAGTTCTGTCTTAACAGTGGAGCTAAGGCCACTGCCCTTGCCAGTCAGATAAAATGCATCCAAAGATACAGTTCAAGTCAGTAGAGATATATAAATTAAAAGGAATGTAAACATCAGCTGAGAAGCAGCAGTCAGTACCTAGTCCAAAACAAGGTAGAGTGGAGTTTTGTATGTGTCTATGAGTATGTACTTAAACTATGTTGTTTACAGATATTAAATACAAATTCTCAGAGAACAGTATTGTCTGTAATTCATTGGTGTCCTTTAAAACTATCCTAGCAATTCCAACTATTCCTTGGAAAGACTCTTTTAAAAGAGTTTTTCAGTGTTGATGAATTGTTCTTTGTGCAATGAGGAATGTGAGGTCATACCATTTTTTAATAGCGCAATAACCCATATAGGACATTTTGCAGAGCAGCAAAAACTGCTGCTGTCATGCTGACTCTTTGCAGCTCAGTACAGATGAAAAATGGCACAAGTCTTTATTAATACAGTGCTTTCTCTAGCAATTCACTGGTGGTAATTTCTGAAGTGCCTTTAGAAAATGTTTAGTATTTTTTAACTTACATTTTAAAGAAAGGTTGAATAGAAGACTGTGAGCTTTTCAGCTTACCAAATTGCTTATTGGGTAATGCTTTTATTTTAAGCAGCACTTAGAATAAAAATTAAAATTATTTTAAGCAGTGCTCAATAGAGAAATATTTCTAATATTTGGTATGGTAGAAACTGAATAGTACTTACAGTTCTAGAGAGGCTTTGGTTGTCCAATAATCCCATAATTATTTCCAAGATTGAATCTACCCAGTATTTTTTCAGTCCTTTGGACAATATGTTTTGTCTTTGAGTTTGTCTTTAGATTTCTTCTAAAGGTGACAGAACGTTGTATGGATACTGTTTTATAAATAGTGAAATAATTAATAAACTGTGTGGCCTTTCAGTACCTCTTGTGAAAAGAGATGAGTGGTTTCTGTTAGTGACAGTAACTTTTGATTTTGAGAAGTTGATATTTAATTATTAAGAACTCCAAAATAACTGAAGTTACTAGATAGGGAGAGCCATATGTCTTTTAGCTACAGGAAATAAAGGGGTTTGTTATGAGTGATTTTCTACAGATCCGTATTGGGTTTGCATTGCAATATTTTGGCAGCAGGGCTGCTACAGGGGTGGCTTCTGTGAGGAGCTGCTAGAAGCATCCCCCATGCCAATAGATGCA